GGTTTGAATAACTTTAACTGAAGGAGAGTTCAGTTAAAGTTCAAGGAGGAAGTGGTGGGAGGACCAGCCTCTTAGATCTGCACACCTATGACGCTCATTTCCAGACCTGTTTTTACTCTTGATGTGTGGAGTAACTTTGCCTGATTCAAAGTTCAAAATAATCCTTATTTATCACGTGGCTGCTTCAGACTGCTTTCCGTTTAAGCCAACACTCTGACTTGCTGCAACTTGCAAACACAAGGTTTGAACAGCAGGTGGGCGGAGCTTCACGGCCTGAGATGAAGATTCAAATATCTCCTTCGGTTTATTTACTATGATACAAAGTGAAGAGTAGGAAAACGTGAAACTGAACTGAACATCTTTATTTTATCATATTTGATAAAAGCACCCACACAGGCAATAAGGAACAACATGTCAGATGCATTTTAAATGTTTGTCTTTTTAAGGAAAGGCAAGTTTTCTCACAGGTTGCTAAACATCTGACGTGTAGCTCCTGTAGCACAACAGTGACACATTTAACTGTTAAAATACAGCTTTTATTCCAGATTTGCCAGCTTTAACAGTTATTTTACTTTTATTCTGCTGCAGCTGTGGTAAAGAACGTTTCATTGTGGTGCTGTACAAAGTAAAAGCTGACCACGTTTTCTATTTGAAAACTCGTATTTGTTAAACTGGTGCGAAATGTAGTGTAAAAATGACAAACGCTATCCGAGTAGTTAAATTGTCTTTCACTTTCTTTAGCTGCTGCATAAATCTGTTTAGTACATTATTGAAATCTTCAGGATGTCTTGACAGTTTCTCAAAGTCTCTTCTTTCTCGCACGTTCATTTCCTGAAACTGGCATTTACGGCTTTGTTTCCTTTTGTTTTTACACCACTGACATGTTGCTTTCTTTTTCATCTCAGTTTTGTTTGGTTGAAAGTTTCTGCAGCATTTCTCACAGCTCCCTGTCTGAGGTTTCAGTTTCCTGAATACCAAAGGAGGAAACCACTACTGCTTAAAGCCTAAAGTCTAACGCAACTCCAAAAAACAAAACAAAACAAAACAAAAAAAAAACCTCAGAGAAAGGTTGCAATGTTCAGAAGCTGCAACTAAATGATTTTCATCAGTAATTGATTATTATAAAGGTGAAACGTGCCACAGTGATGACTACATAGAGTATATGTACCAGTAGGAAAGGTTGAGGACAACATTTTATAAGAATGTATAAAACAAAGAAATTAAATGTTGCCATATATTGTAATCTAACCACATATTAACACTGTTGTGTTCGTGTGTGCTTCTGTGACCTGAGATCTCTACTGTTCAACACCCTTCTCACATTTTGGCTTTTTTATGGAATTCAGGCTTTCACGTCACTTCTCGTCATAGACCGCCTTGCACAATGCTGAAAACAGCATGTGCAAGGCCACAAGGTGTCGC